TAGTTCAGATGTGACCCCATTTCCGCGTCTCTCTGTCATACCAAGCGGGGGGGGGGAAGCATGAGGACTGAAACAGTGTCAGGTTGCCCAAAACTAGACAAGAACAGCCAATATGCCAGGGCTCGGTTCGAACCACGGACCTCGCGATCAGTAAGTTCGCAACCACCAAATACGTGGTGAACAAAGACCTCTCTTCTCCCCAAGTCACCAGTGATTACCCGTTGGAACTAGTGAGTTGTCATCCTCAGATCTAAAACGCATACATGTTTTTAATAGAAAGAACTAGCGGTTGCGGTTCATAACAGAGTTGCCTGACCGCAAAAGTACCTTTCAGTAAACAATTTTTTTCTTATGATTGTCTCACTCTTCATTCCGTACCGCTTCAGTTTTCTGCTGTCTGCTGAAAGCTGACGCTATTGTCATTGAAAGCTGTTTAAAATGCAGTCTAGATCCAGTATACATATCAACTGATTTCCTCTCAGGAACTTTGACAAGCAGACGTAACATTATGACCCTTCACAACTCATCATACCAGTTAGAGCACTGGTACACTTTCGTTTACATGACTCAACTGAGTCCCAGCTTAATCTATTGTTAATGTAATCCGAAGAGTTTTCATCAGTCTCGTGAGTATTCTGTCCAGTCAAGTAAGTGCAATGGTCCACGTGAATACATAACGGAGAAGACAGCGGGTTTAAAACGTTTTACTAACGGAGGTTTCGATATCCGAGATAGGGTCCTGTTGGTGCTTCAGAGAGAAAGGAACTTTTTTGACTCGAGACCAAAGCATAACAAAAAGTTATTCAGAAAACACAGATTGCGAAAACAGTATTTCTCACCTGTCCGGCTGGATTATTCGTTCCTCCGTCTTTCCAATGAGTTCCATGCGTGTTTTTAGAATAGCTACAATTTGGTAGGAGTGATGAAACACTTACTAGGAGGCCGATAGACTTTTGCTCGATCAGATTCCAGCTCTTTCTCAACAGCTTCGATACTCTAAAGATAATACCCCAGCAATGGACAAAAATCTACCTTGAGGGCAATCTTCAGAAACTCACTATCACCGAGAGACTTTGTGACATCCTTCATTTGCTCACCAGCTTTCGATAAATTATCAAGGCTCTTTTTAAGGGATTCATTCACTGCAAGTTGTTGACCACCTTCCTTGAGCTTATCGGATAAAACATTGAGTCTGACACGAATTTTTTCAACTGCATCTGTGGGGAGCTCCTTTTCAATCTTCCTCTACGGATTAAAGGTGTTGAACATAGCAAAAAGGAACGAACATAAAATTCGCGCACAGACTGAAGTTCTTTCGACTGTTCGAGCTTGGCAGTCTCTTCACGGAATTTTCTGATATTTTCCTATATAAAAGGTCGAAAGATGAATTTTGATCTAATACCTTAAGTTCAGCATCCCGGCTAGATTCTTCTTTCACTTTATCAATCAAGCTCTTGAGGAATCCTTTTGAATACCGTACATGCTTGTTCTAAAGGCAGTCAAGAAATCAAACAAGCTTACCACAATAGGACTGTAAAGCCGAACCCCAAAAAACGAACGAAGCATTTTCAAGACAGCGAATATCACCAAATTCAATTATTTGACGTGTGCCGCCGTGGACTATCTGAAAACAAAGAAAGATTTGTACCAACTAGGATGTAGAACGATAATATGGTAACGACTGAATTCTTCCAATGAAGTTGTCAGACGTCCCGTGAATACGATGGCGTGGCAAGAAACAAGCTGATAGTTCAAGCACAAGTGGCCAATCAAGTAATCAGATGGTTAGCACGACACTCAGCAGAGTTATCTTGCTACAGGCAACTGAATAAGCGTGGCAATCTATCTGAGGTGGAATCGAGTTGAGGATGCAGTTAGTTAGGCTACACAAAAAGCGCTAACGACTGGAAGAGAGTATATCATAGTTTATATAGAGAAACCTGACGTTTCATGGAACGCCGGGAAAGGCTTTGTGGTTGCTTCTATAGGCTATAAACAGTGGTGCAGATATATGCATCGTCATAAGCATCCGCATCGCCATGATCACAACCACAGTTATTGTCGTGTAGCCAAGTCAATCGCTTCCGGTCTTGGTGTAAAAAGAAAGAGAAATGGATGAGGGGAACAAATCCCGTGCTGTCTGATGCAATTTCAACAGGAACTCGAGAGAAAAGAGTGGAAGATTCTCAGCTTGGGGTTACCTTGGACACTTAGTACCTATCCTGTTAGGGAGGACTTGGAGTACCTCAGCCTGCGAGATGGCGAGATGGCCCAAGTGGTTAGAGCGCGAATTTACTGACCGGAAGGTCCGTGGTTCCAATCCGACCTCCGTCACTCGACTTCCCCTGTCTAGGCTTGGGCAACCTGGCAGTATCCCAGCCCTCATGCTTCCTTCGGGTGGCATGGCAGCTAGGCACCGGAAGGGTGCTACAGCTGAACGCTTTCCTTTCCTTTCAGCCTGCCAGCTCAATGACAGCTACCGATCTGTTTAGTCAACGTTCCAAATATAAGCTGCGCAACAGAGTGTAGTAGTTCCAGCTGGTACAGTTTCATTCATCGCGGGGAGGGAAAGAAGGAAAACAGGAGGGTAGGGAGAAGGGAATGACAGTTGTATGATGGTCCGTCTGGTGATATTTACTAGTTCTGCATGTCCCATTTGGCAGGTGAGAGATTTCACAGTGTCACCAGTGGTTGCGTTACACATTCATATCTGTCCGCGTTAGTGACAGTTCATTCGTCTCGTCCAGGGGCTTCCATACAGAGATGAAGGTTATCAACATGAGTTCATTGGCAGCTTCAGAGTTCCGGGCAGCTGGGTTTGTAAATAAATGTTACTGGAATGTCAGAGCACCTTCTGACACTATCGCTCAGTCTATCCGCATACATGTTCTGTATGAAAACAGCATCGATATCGGATTCAAGCTCCCAAAACCGGTTGTGGATTCAATTAAAACAATGGCCCTATTGCGAACTGCTGCTAGTGGCTTAATTGTACAGGCCAGATGTTCCTGGTCAGCGAAGGCAAAACATGTCTTGAATCAAAACGTCAATAGTGCCGTCAGCTCACGAACATTTCAACGAGCATTGCCAACACAGGTTCCCATTCGGAAGGTTACCCTAAAAACATTTCCGTTTTGAGTGTTTTCTATTGTAGCTCGCCAGTGCTGCTCAGTTGGACTGTGGTATTTTTTGTTGCCCCCTGATTGTACTTCGTATTCCGGTTTCACTATTTTCTGATGAATAATCCATTAAGAATGCTAGTGAACTATGGACTTCATGCACTGCTACACAGTCTTGAAAGTCAGGCCACCGACTGGAAGTCTTGGGCGGGTTCTGGCATTCAATCTCTTTCTTTGGTACAGGCATCCGAAGAATATTCTATCCACTGCGGTGTGACAGCAAACAAGCATGACGGATCAAAAAGGAACACAATGTCCAAGAGATGTTTCATCGGGCACCAGAATTTATGAGTTCCACGACCACCGCATCCAGAAGGATCACACAACCGGTAAACGTAGATAGTTCTTTCCCACCAATGACACATCCGACTTCCAATGTTCACATGCCATGGAAATCTAGACTATGAGAAGCACTATGTCACCGTAGTGAGGCCAAAAACTGATGCGTATTAACTGGCAGAACCACCTATTTAAGGTTCATGCTCTTTTCTTACATCCATAGTTTTCGATTTCCAACAACACTTACCATCAATTCTGCTTTACAGATTGTCGGCACTGCCTCTACAGATGAAACAGTCTCATAAAAGTGGGGATTGCATTGGAGCACGCCCCAAGGAATAGGTTCATGAGAATAGTTTGATCCACGCTGGTGAGTTCATTCCTGTCAAGTAGGTAACGTACGTCAAAACAAGTTTTTTTTTACTTTGGTGTAGTCACCCACCAAATGTAGGGCTGACTGACTTCTGCCCAAATATGATCAGCCTAATAGGCCCCTCCGGTGCGCTCCTCCCCGACTACGCAGGTCAAGCTAGTGCTTTGCACTTTTTGGCCGTAGACAATTTTCAAAAGAGGTGGCCGGAAATCCTACTACAATCCTGAGACCAGTAAAAAATATTTAATCGCTTCGGAACTTTACAGATTATCATGCCCAACAATGACAGTCAATTTACCTCATAGGTGTGCGCGAAGGCTTGTCGGGAGTATGGTGCAACCCATGTCCGACACCAACAGTTCAACCACGTAGAATTGGTTCAAACGAGAGCGACGGAGAGAAATTTATAAAAGGCTTGTGCCGAAATAACAAGCGACGCTAAACTGGAATTCGCTCAAAGGAGAGCCATCACTAGAGGCACTGGCTCGATGGAGGCGTCGAAATACACATGACATTACGTAACACCATGGGTACAACCAACCAAATGAAAGGTTAGTGGGTCATACGAACAACAAGAGTAAGCCCGACCGGGATGTCTGGACGAAGGCCTCAATTCTGCATATGAGTCCACGAACAGGCGAGTGACTAAAGCGGACACGGCACAACCGTGGGTTCATTCATTGAAGGCCGGGGAACCTTCACGGATTCACGGATTGATACACAGGATCGAGGCTTTTGCCCAAGTTTTCCGGGTCGGTTTTGTTCTTGTCGGTCAGTGGCTATCGTTCACCTGAAAGGCACAAGTGAAAAAAGGGTGTAGCACTGCTCTTCATGCTCTCAGCGCGGGGCAGTATGCTTGCCAGCGCGAGGATTCCCATAAACAAATGTCTAATAGTACTTTAAACTGGGTTCTAGAAGGAGCGTGGACAACCGTCGGAGGAAGGCCATTCGACGCAGCTACTACCCGAAATGAGAAAAAGTTTTGTCTAATGAATGTGTGTGCTCTGAGCTTGAAAATTTTCTTACCATGTCCCCACCGTGTGTTTGCTGGGTCAACGGTGAAAAACCTGTTTGCTAAGCTTTGTTCAAACAAGGCATAGGTAAGAAGTAGGTCCCCTCGGAGGCGACGGTACTCCAGGGGAAAGAGACCAAGCATCGCGAGACGCGTTTCGTAGTCCACGGATTTGAGGCCGGCAACCCATTCTCGTACGGCTCGCTGGACACGCTCAATGAGGGTGACGTCTTTCGTGCGTTGGCTCATGACTACAGCAATGGACTCTATAGGCAGATGTCGGCGCGAAGGCTTTGCGTGCCCAGTAAATTTAATGCGGAACTTAAGTTCTGGTTGGCCTTGAATATCCATGCAGTTCTGGACAACACTTGATACCAACCTTCTGCGTAAACCCCAGTCTGGGCATGCACAGCGACCGCGAAGTTGGACAGGCACGATCCGTAACCAAGTGAAGCTGCTGCACTCAACCACCCGACTTTGAAGCTGAATCAAAGGGTTTCCATTATGAGGTGCTACGCAAAACTACGCCACAGATGTCCCGGCATTGACGACTAGGCGCTGCATTGGCCCACAAGCCCAACTCGAACGTCATTGGTCAGATTACCTGAAGGCGATGACAGGATTATGCAGGCACTCGATTGGTCCAAAATGTGGACTCAACTGTAAATGACGCCGCAAGAATTGCTTTTTCAGTGTCCCTCAAGAATGCCTCATTATTTCCCTTATACTGACGTCACACATGCGCTGAACGCAACGCATTTAATTCTTCATTCCGTTTGTGTCGGATTTTTGCCCTCCAAATTGATGTAGACGCTGCCAAGCAGTGGTCGTTGGACTGGCACCTTCCTCTGAATGATGAAGAGTGCGTTCATACGTCGTTTGGAGGGGATTCAGCGAATGCCTTTGTTATGCATGGTGAGAAAGGACCCGAAAAC